AAGGAGGAAAAAAAAATGTGTTCGCTGTTCAAACCCCCCCTGTTCCACCGCGCACGGCCGTCATTGTCGTGGGCGCGTCGCGGACTTTCCTGACAGGGTCCGATGCATGCTTAACTGCGTATTTATATATCTACTTCAGACCTAAGGCGAGAATTTCCAGCTTTGAATGGCCTGCCTAGCCTTGCCCTCTCGGCCCTCCTGCTTTGTAGAAGCGCCTTCCGCTGCAAGCCTTCCGCTGCAGACGGACGCGTATGGCCTTTGGGTCTTTTTTATACCCGGCCACAAAGAGCTGCAGACCGAGTGCAATGTGGACAAACGTGGCAAGCCATTCACGGTCGCGATGGCTTCGAACGCTCTCGTTGATTTGCGCGAACTCATGCGGGAGCCAAGCGCAAGCGCAAAGATGCCGTTTTTCGTCGTCGCAGTCGGCGGCATGCAACGCAACTTACATAGATGAATCACACTCGTCGGACAGCGTCCTCTTGCCGCGTTGCTCGAAGATAGGCGGTACCTACATAGGTAGGTATGTAAGTGAGTACATAGTAGCAAGCCATTGACCAATTGCGCCCGAGGAGGGGCATATCACCAAAGACCGAGAGCGGAGCGGCTTCGTGATATCGATAGGTATCGCGGATAGATTAGCAGTGATGAAGTAATGGCAACAGATTGCGCATCTATCACATCTCGGAAAGGTATTACCCCGGTGGCTCGGCGTCGATTCTCACGTTATGATCAACCTAGGTATACCTATTTGTAGTGTCTGTGGCTGCAGCCGGGGAACTGCAAGTAATGGGTTCGAATCGCAATCCCATTAGCCAGGCCCCCGGCGTCTTAACTCCGACATGTGATGTGACGGACGGATGTATGTATAGATGAGATGTGACGAATTCTACTAGGTCTAGCACATGACCGTCCTACCCACTAAACCCCCATGCGGACCGCGGAGCCGCAGAAGAGCTATATGCTCCACTCGAGTCCGAGTTACTTTCCGTATGTGGCTGCTAGGTAAGACTCGGCAGCAGTATTGTACCCTAAGTTCTAAGCTTCTACGAGAGCATTACTAGAAGCCGGGTCACCCCGGGGAATATTACTAGTGAAAGCCTGAAGAAGCACCAGCAAGCTATGTGATTTTCATTTAAACTAGTTCGTGATAAGAGTTCTAGGGTTATTGCAATCACATAAACCTACTGCAAGTATTGGTGTTGAAGAGCTAACTAATGTACCAATTATATGTCCGGGGTCCGATAAAGATGTTAGCCCTCCCGCAGCTTAACAGCCAGCTATTATAGATAGAATATCAAGGATTAGTCCGTTTTTGGAGATCGCTTAAATACTGCCGACCATATTAAGCTTAGATTGCGTGATGAAGATTCAAACTTAAAGGGAACGTTACGCGCTTATATCTGTAGCAAGTTTAAAATATCGTACTATAGCCCTCCCATGCATATTCGGCATCGTGATAAGTAAAGCTATTGCAGTAGTCTTAGTTTCCTTTTCAGCCTTGTGCTAGCATGTGCGCAGCTATTAATTCCACAATTTTGTTAAAGACTATCGTATGGACATGCTATTCTAGCTGTAAACATCATAGTATAAGTTCGTTCGTTCAAGAATGCGGTAATGAGAGAGTCTTGAGCCGTTTGGCTTATTGCATCGTCCAGCCATAGAAAGAACCAACCCTAACAATATTTACTTTATAGCATTGACTATATTTTAGCGTTCAAGTACTTCTCAGTTTCTAGTCAAGGTTGAGCCTCGCTCTCAGGTCATCAGTCAGAGCCGTTGTTTGATATTATGCCATAAAGTCAAGAAGTTAAGATAGCTCCGTCTTATATTAAACAAGGGCACCAATGACCATATATACGCCGCTAAAGACAAGATCGTGCGGCGTATCACACGACATCTATGAGATACAATATAATACGTTTTAGTTACATATATTTGTGCACTTTTCTCTTGAAATGAGCTAGAGAGAGTCTGAATTATTTACTCTTAGTTCTACTTAAACGAGGGAGAACTGTTGCGTCATGCAAAGTCCAGAAATTTAGTTATGTAGCGTTTGAATGGATAGGGACCAATGGGATCTGTGTCATACTACCGTTATTGTCTCGCACTAATGCTTCCTCATGATGCTATGATCTAGATAGGACAATCTAGAGCAACTGATTTTCTTGGTATGTATAGACACTAGCACCCGTGACTTAAATTTAAAACTCCTTGGGGAATCACGAGACTGTTTCTATGTCTTCTAGGTCCACCTCGTGATACATGAGATGAAAATTGTGAGTTAACTAATCTCCAAGTTACACTCGGGGCTTCAGTATGGACCGTAAGGACAAGTTGGTTCTTTATGCAAGTGACACTCCTCTGCTGATGTTCGAGCTCTGCATTGACTAAGGCAAGCGCACAATGGCCATCTTGATCTCCGCCATGGTTGTGAACCTTCGTATGGCCAACCGTCCCTTGGCTGGCTGGCTGGCCGATGCCACGATTAGTGACTTTCCTAATGACCCTGAACGCGTGAAAATTATCAGACTTAATTGGTACTTGTGATTTTTAAAACATAAAAAGTGATCTCGAGGTAGCAACCCTATTCTCTTGATTCGGGTTCCAGATGTTGGAAAAAAGGCCAGATGCAAGGGTGCGGCTTGCCTCGACCTGGCTTAGATAAATAGGTAAATACACCTAATTGTCTGCCGCGTGGCATTTTCCTAAGGGGAAGCATTTGCTACAACCACTATATCAGAGTGTTCCTCCTGAGACGCTACCAGCTACTCATAGAGATGCTATTTCTATGACCCGGTTTTTCGGTTTCCGGTACCTCTGGATGATACAAGAGATGATCTTGCCACGCTGCCTCCTAATTATGAGAAGAGACTATATCTACTGGCACTGTCACACTTTCCTACGATCGGTGGGAAGTATTCTAGCCCTGAGGCCAATTCCCTAGCTCCTCCCTCGAGGGACAATGCCTTAGAGCATCCTAGAGCATAACGACTAGCGAAGCTTCTTCCTATGATAGATATAATTTAATCCGTACCTATTCTCTAGCCCAGATTACTCACTCTAGAGAAAGACTAAAGACCCTAAGCGTCTTGGCCCAATACTTCGATGGATCATCGCACTTAGTTTATGGCATATAAGCTGAGGACATGCGGAATGGACTGTTGTGGTATGTCAACGATGCTTTACACTCGAAATCTACGAATAGCTACATCGCGCCGGCGTGGAGCTAGGTATCGACCCAAGGCTACGTGATATATAATATGCTCATGGGCTGTCGGCACGGTTAGCTGCCCTCGAACATGGATTTCTCCATGCTAGCTATTCCCACGATCGACCACGATATGTACGGCCCAATCGATGGATACCGGAAAATCGAGGCTATGGCTATGGTGTCGGCTTCTTTGAACTCCTGGACTTTGCGTGTGCCTGGAAAGCGTCATCTGGGTTCCTTCTCAACCTTTATTTGTCCTTGGAGTCTTACCGAGGGTGCCGACCTAAAGCAGTCTCGCTACGTGGTACTTATCCACTATACTCCCTTCAATAGTAGAAGCCAGGACGGGACAACTTCGCCCCGTAATATTAACTATGAGCGCGGTTCTGTGAGGATGGGTATATTTCTAATGGATTCTTGTTATAGTAACCCCATTGAGTGGATGAGAAGAAGACTCAGGTGTGCATAGACTGGCGCGGCTATTCCTCAAACTGCATATTTTCCGATCGACTTATTAAGAGGTTTCACGTGTAATTCCTACCCTTAATTAAGGGTAATAACGGTAAGAAGATGCGACAAAAGTTTGTTGGTGCCAAAACGAAGTTATAACTACTAGGAGGGGTGAGCTCTTATGATTGTTCCCTATGTAGAATTATATAATGTCCATCTGACTTTAAAATAGTCTATGAAAAACACACTGGACACTTAAACCTATGTCAAAGGTTTCTATATATTATATGTATCTCCTGAGATATTATATGTCACGTATAAATTCAAAGACCTTTCTAAATTATACTATGTACTACCAACTCCATCACTTATAACGGTTAGGGATTACTGGCTTTTACGTAACCTTCCCTAAACCCTTATAGACTAGCATTATAATTATTATAACTAACTAAAGTTATAACTCAACTTCTAACCTTCTATCTACTACCTTCCTATGTCTTTTCCCCGACATTTGTTTGATTGGCCCCTTTAGCGCCAGTGGAGACCACCCGTGCAACCTAAACCTCCATAGGGCAAGCGAACTTGAGGCTATCTCGTTTATTTCTCGTATAAATCCCACAAAAAAAAAATATCGGCCCACCCGAAAGCCATTAAAAAAACCACAAACCAGAAAAAAAAAATGCCCACTACTGGAGTCGAACCAGTCATCTCCTCATAGCTTCCTTAGTAGTATTCAGAGAATACTAGTGAGGCGCATTACCGCTGTGCCAAGCGGGCTTCTGTGGATTGGTGAAAATTCGTTGCTAAAGTCCACATATGTACCATTGACAACTTGGACCTCATGGCATTGAAACTGTGATGGTGTTGACGATTTGGTACAGGTGCGAACACATTGTTTAGATGAACTTCTTTAGAATCTTGGGTTGTTTTTCTGTGACAATCATTTGCTGGATCGTATAATACTCCCGATCCTTTATACTCTTTCTCCCTTTTTCTACTCCTATTCTCTTCTTAATAAGTAGTTTATATTTTCCCGTATGCTTGCCTTATATGTATCTATCAGCAGGGAGTGGGAATTCTCTTAGTTTAGCTTCGGTATTGACCTTGTTTCTCCATTGGGCTCTTCTATAAGCACATACTGCCTTTTCTGAGGTAGCTAAATCTATCAAGCATCCATTGCACGCCTCAACTCTACACCATGATTAGTCTCCCCACATGCTTCTATAAATATACTTTACAGTTGGAATATATTGTACCCATCGCATCCATGGCTCCATACCCATCCCATATAGCCGGTTTGCCGAGTATTATACGCCGAAATTAGTTTGATGTCATTGCCCCTTCTACAATGCGTGATTGATAGATGCCGTAAACAGTCTGTAGAACTCTTCAAGCTATTAGACTTTGTTCCCCTTCCTCTATCCGCTTAGAGAGACATGAAACTGCATAAGAGTGCGAATTTAAACATGGATAACTTCATAGGGGGTGCCAGATATACTCCTCATTTCCGCTTGCCAACACCACTACCCCTGATCGAGTTCCTGAGAGCTCGTATACTATCGTGTAGGGGAACTATTCTTTAGGACCTTCTTGACCCATTCTGGTTCTGCCCCTGGCCGAAGAGGTCGACAGTTGGGGTATGATAGGGCTCTTCGGGGGGCCACGCAGTAAGAAATGCACCGTTCTTCGAGGCCTTGGCCGCATCCGCTGCGGTCCAGGACGACTGGTTGTTCTGTGCCCGTGATTGTGAGTATTGGACAGGCGCAGACTTGCCCAAGTTGAGCCGCGAACGTGTAGACTTCTTCATAGAGTTAGACATTACGGCTGGTTGCTATCGACTTCAGTTTGTTGTTCGTCTTGTTCGAGTTGGCTTCCGAGAGGCCGCCAACAGAATTTTACAGGAAGAATGTAGATTATTTGGAAGATTGGAGGTTAACTAGGTAGTAATGCTTCGGGTCGCGTATGGACCGTCTATATGATATATCTATGGCGTGGAACTTGTAAGAAATAGTAGAGGTGAATGTAAGATTTTGTTTTCATGGGGTTGTATATACTAGAGAGAAGAGAAGGAAAGCAAAAAAATTATATGCGAAGTTCTGTTTTTATACAAAAGCAGGTACACTACAGAGAGAGATACACACCCTACGTCGCGTTGTGGACGTATCTGCAGAACGGAGACCCAAGGGACTGGGTCCTCTGTTCTACAGCACCTCATCACGGGGAACTACCCACTTAGAGTAACGGATACATGCTATAATAAGTTTGACAGGTCTTAACATCGGGAGCTAAACGGGGTGCCGGACCTCGTAGTCAAAGTGCAATAGCCGACCTCCTAAGTCAAACTTGCTACATAGGCGTAGGACAGAATCTCGCATATTGACAAGTGCCCTTGACTTAGGCAACCGACGTGAGAGGTAGTCTGAAATAGAAATGGTACGAATCAAGGAAATGGACATCGGAGAGAGACAGATACACGTAAATATTGAACTCGGGTCTATCAACCGTGTCATGAGACATCTCGTCCGGAGCTGAGGCGAAAGATTGACAACGGGCATTAGCGTCACACCAACTAGAGACTTACAGGTTCGGGGATTCGGTCGTGGCCAATCACGTAGGGTATGGGGAATTGCGGCTGCCCAGCTTGCCGAAATTTAAGACATTCGCTGCGCATAAGCAGGTCTTCGTGGCCCGTAGACAGACCGTGTAGGACGACATAGATTGTGTAGCCAGGATACATAAGGTCAATCAATGTATGGGGATTTGCACCAATCTTCAAAGTGATCCTTGCTGCCCGTCGAGCTCGTATGAATCCCGGCACCATTGTCTAGCAGAACATGCTTAATTACTTCATAAATTTTTAATCGGAATCCAGCGTTAAGTACCAGGTAACCTAACCTCCTAGCTTGCCAATAGCTCGCCGGCTCCCGAAACATATCTGAATCGCATTACCACTTGCTAGTTCTCTCAATCGCCTGGGCCGTATTCTCGGGTCCAAGCAGGACGAGTGGATTTTGCACAAGGCGCCCGGAAGGGTTTGTGCTTTGGAGCCTGCAGAAACGTGTTTATGCGGCAGCCTTGGTCGCGTCTTTCTCGTCCTTGCCCTCCTCCTCACCTTCGAGAGCCGGCATATCATCGTCAGACTCATCTTCCTCCTCCTCGCCACCGGGCATACCACCGGCAGCACCGAGCTTGGAGAAATCAATACCGCTAAAGTCACCGCCGGCACCACCTAGTGTTAACGTGTTAGCTTAGTCATAGTTAATAGATATTCATCTTCCTAAAAGTTACGTACCCATTCCGCCCATTCCACCCATTCCGCCCATTCCACCCATTCCACCCATGCCTGGCATGCCTCCTGTTAAAAGGATAAATATTAGTCACGAGATTTTGAAGGAGAGTATGTCTTTAGAGAGGAGGGTAGGCCGTGTGGATTATAAATAGTTCACGTACCCATACCGCCGAATTGTGAGAAGTCTTCTTCTGGAGCCTCGTTCTGCTCGTCCTCATCGACCCACTTGTCGAAGTCGGTCTTCAAGAACTGGACTTTCTTAGATTCCTTGAGAAGACGCGGCCAGTACTCGTCGTTGAGCTCCTTCTTGCGCAGCTTGAGCTCAACATTGCGAGCGGTATGGTGGACCTGACTCTGGGCGGGGTCGATCTCAGCATAGAAGGTAAGATCTAGGTGGTACGTTCGCTTCAGGGTCTCGGAGTGACCGGTGAAGGTTAGGGATGTAGGCTGAATATCAAGCTTCAGGTTCTCCTTGGGGACATCAGGAACCGAAATGGTGAGATAGATAAAGTTCTTCTCGGGTTCCGTGTTGGAAGAGCGCTGAGCCCATAGTACTACACAGAGAATAGTTAGTTTGTGTATGCTCTGGTAGATGGAATATCCATGTATACAATGTATACAATGTATACGACGTAGACATCGACCCAGTTACATGGTACGCTGTCCACTCCACTGGCACGAAGCTAGAAATGAAGGTGCTAATTCAGGTAGTAGACTCACCTTCGGGAGTGACCTGCGCCATCTTGACTGCTATAGGGTATCGGGTATCTGAATTTGTTGGTGGGGGTAATGGTATATGACGTCGGTCAAGTATGTAGGTGTAAAAAGGTTGTGGGTGAAAAATAAATTGTCAAGTTGGGATCGCAAATACAACGGTAGTTTGATCGTCTACTTGTTGGAATTGGTGGGAAGAGAGTTTAAGAAATAAAAAAATATGAGGCTGTTCTAGTAAAGAGCTTAATGATGCACCCCTCCGATGAACATCGAACCCGCACGAAAGCGGCGGAAGCAGCAGGGCTAGATTTGGATTTGCACGGGGGGTAGCTGCCTGGGCTTCACTAGGAATTCGCACTGTAAGATGTAGCCTAATTGGGCATAGACTTCGCGGTAACGTTTGTACAATACCTTCGTATCTCTGTTAATCTCTGTTAATAAAGCAAGAGGCATATGTACGGTACCTACGCAGCTTACCAACTTATCATAAAAGCCACTCTTTTCAATATGCCCGTCTTTACTTTAACTAATTATTATTATTTAAAGAGCGTAGTATCGAAAGAGAATTACCAGACCCCGAGATGACTGCATGAAAGCAGAGAAATTCCAGAAGCCTCGCCTACATACGTACCCAGGTCCCAAAGTTCTGGATTCATCTGCATAAATAATATTGGAGTTGCATTCTTCGATACAATCTTCTATGTAAAGAATACAAAGACTTAAGTATAGCAAGACAACCTTTGTGGATCTTTAAGGATACTGTACTTATTTACGTATGGATGTAAAACTTGATTTTTGATAGTAAGATTAAATTGAACAATATGATAAATGATATCTCTCTTTAATAAATGTACATGTCTGTGTATCTGTAGCAAAAGTGGTGGCTTTACGTAAGCATCTAAGCGTCGAGACCTCTTTGACACTGTGTTGGATAACCGTCTAAGTTAGCACTTTAGCGGGGTTAAGCTGTTCCTGAATTCCCCATCTTTCCCTATCAGCCTAGACCAACGTCATTTAGATGGCGTTAAGCTGCATAACACACAACCATCTATAATCTATCAGTCCCACTACTCTCCTTACCTAAGGTATTCAGCCTCCCCCGGACTGCTTTGCCAGATCCCATCTGAGGTCTCTCGGCAGGAACCGCCTTGTCGATTTTAATCTAGACCTTTTCAATCCAGACAACCCCCCAAGATGGAGAGTCTCAAATCACTCTTCGTTAAACCAGACCCTAATGCCCAGGTAAGCAACTCTCCCTATCCTTCTCTTGATGGAGATCCAGCTAGGTGGCGTTTTCAACTTACACTACCCGTCTGAAAATAGATGCGAAAATGTAACGCCTTAATACGATCCAACATCCGTAAGCTCGATCGAGACATCAACCAAGTCAAGCAAGTCGAGATCAAGACCAAGAACCTCATCGTCCAAGCGGACCGACGATCCCAACGGAACCCACAACAAGCAAAGCAGGCGCAACGGGAAGTGCGCGACTTCGCGAAGGAGCTGATTCGGGCACGGCGCACGTCGGCAAGGCTAGTGACGTCTAAGGCGCAGCTGAACAGCGTGCAGATGCAAGTGAACGAGGCGTTCGCGGTGCGCAAGATCGAGGGCAGCATTCGGGCCAGCGTAGGCGTCATGAAGGATGTCAACAGCCTGATCCGACTACCGCAACTGGCAGGAACCATGCGCGAGCTATCCCTCGAACTCATGAAAGCCGGTGTCATCGAGGAGATGGTCGGTGAGAATCTACCCGTGGACGACATGCTAGAGGACGAAGAGGAAGAAGCCGAGGGCGAAGTCGATAAAGTGCTGGGAGAGATCCTCAAGGGCCGTATGGAGAAGGCGGGCGCGACGCCCAGCGCACCGCTGCCATCTCATCCCCAAGAACAGCCTGTGCAGCTGGAGGAAGAGGAAGAGGATCCGGAAGCTATGATGGACCAGATGAGGAACAGATTGGAAGCTCTCAGGAGCTAGAATTTGAGTTTTTCTTTTGCGCCCATCCTTGGGAAGTTGTTTAGTCATATTCTGTATTGGCGTTATGGCGTAGCATTCCTGGGTGACGACTATTCGCCTTCAATGTTTGGTTGGGTAGGTACATATTTCGTGTTCAGCTATCAGTTCAGAGAAGACGGCTAAGAAATGCCGTGTATAGAGATTACAATATTATTTCTGGTTCGATGCCCATTCTAGACCAGGTATGCATTAGTCAACGTTCGGAGCATTTGTATATTTCATTTACCCCGATACACAGATCTATACACGAACTATCTCGTAAGGTAGTTTCTTATCTCCTATACAGCCAAAGCCCCTACATTACTGATGTACTAAATAACTGAACATATCATCCCTAACTTTGCTTGCGAGTAGTTCACGAACTTATATCTCCTCCACTTTGAAAGCTTGAAGTTTTCCAGAACCCCCCTATTCAATATCACAGAACACCACGGATACTACTTAGCTAACAACAGTAATAACATCTGTCTAAGGATAATCTGACCTATGGTACTCGTTTTTTATATAAACACTGGTACTTATAGACTGTTAATTATCCCGCTGTTAATATGACGCTATGCTAATTCTGCGGGTTATTTTCACCATATGCGTTTTTGCTTCACTTACCATTGCCTTACAGCTATGTCAATTTGTAGGATCGCAGCGCTCAATCCTATCCCGGTAGTTCGGTTTAGCTTAGGTATGAAATAGCAACCAAATCGAAATTATCGACTAGAAGCAGGTCGAGAAGAGACGTAGAAGCGTACCCAGTTGATTTTATTCCAGTTCCTATGTGATTTAAAGCAATCGGTACGGTATCCAAGCTCTTCTCTCTCTCTACATACACCTGCAAATAGAGACCCTCAAATGTATAGTAGCTCTCCATCTTTCTTTTTCAAGGTCCCGGAAGGAATCCTACTATCCCGCTACCCCAATGCTTACCTCAAACTCCATCTCGGAGTAGTAGACGGGAGATCATCGTGGACCTGATCCTCCGCCGTCCAATCCCAGCTCGGCGCCGTAAACACATCTTTAGCAAACTTATCCGCGCCCAATGCGTTCTCGAAGCGCAACCGCTGATCTCCCGCCAGCGACCTCGTAAACCGGAACGGCGCCACCTCCGGTTTGTCCTTACCCTCGGTATCAGGTGGCATCCAGGCGACTGCCTGACGGTTGCTCTTCCAGGTGTTTCTGGTTATGGGGACGGAGTTCGCCGATAACAGGCCTAGTATGAAATCCAGGATGGGCAGGATACGCGTACGCATTCCGCAGTTGGTGTGGTTCTTGTCGATCTGGTAGCTGGGAAACTGCCGCAGAGTGGCGAGTATGTTGTCGATTTGCAGTAGGGAGGTATCCGCGATGGAATCGAGAGATGCTGGTGAGAAGTCGACGAGGAACATGAGATTCTTATTCGTCAGAAACTTGAATATCTCGCCTAGCTGGTACGAGTCGCAAGCCGCACTCGAATCGTATCCAAGCTTACACTGCCGCGTGCGCGACGTGTAGAGAGTAATGAAGTGCTGCTGGACGGAGGCTATTGTATTTAGGATGCATTGGCGGCGGTATTGCAACTCTTCTAATCCAGGGGTTAATATGCATGGGAATTCCATGATAATGACAGATACTTACGCTCAATACCATCCTGCAAATACCACCACGTAGCATCTGAAAACTCATCGTCTTGAGCAAACGAGCTCCATCGACAAGAACCATTCATGATAATCTCCTTTGTGGCCGCTTGAAACCTAGCAGGTTGATTCAATAGCCACGACACGAGTATCTTTTGGCGTAGGACATCCTCATTGCTGCGGCTCATGACTAACGGCTCGTCCCTAGTAGATTTACGGTTCGTCACGGGCCATTTGAACCTCATGCCGGCAACGAGGAACTTTGAAACCGCGGATGTACAGTCAAAGCGATCAGCTAAGACGGCTAATGTGGTTACGAATAACATGGTGAACATGGCGGACTTCGTGACTACTTCCTTGCCATGAAGGATCCGCAGAAGATCGCCAAATGCACCTTCGCGATGCGCGTATTGAGTTGCCTGGTCGTCATCTTGGATTTTGATCCAGGGAAGTTCCTTAGCTTCAGCAGTTTCAGGCTTGACGTTCCTCACCGAGAGCGCGGCAAAGGCGCTTGATATATCCTTCGCCTCTTTAAAGCGAGTATCAGTGAGGAGCCTCTCAAAATACTTAGACTGAGTCTTAAGCGCTTTGAGGCTTACACGGAAACCTAAGCGGGTCTTCTTCTTCGGTGCGGGTTGTGAGTCCCGACTTAGTAGTTTGGATTGAGCGGCTCGTGCGGTTCGAATAGTATCCTTAGAGTTCTCGAAAGTAACATCCAAAATCAAATCTCCATCCTCGACAATGTTGACAATTTCAGGGAGCTGTTCGATAAGATTGGGGTCTGACGCATTGCCGTCTATAGCGCTGCCCGAGTCCTCCATCTGGCTTGTCTCCCGTGTGAGGCAGTACCCTAAAGATACAGAAATCCGAGGTGGTCATCAGTTCCGGAGCTCGTCAGAAAAATTCAAGCTTCCAAAAATGATTAAGTGACTAATATTTATCTTGCATAAGGGTTTAAGAGCGTCAAAATCAAATATATTTCTTAGATATTAAAATAGTTGTAGTTGACCTTGATTTTGACTAGCTAATAAGTACTTGAGTAGATGAGATGGTTGAAAATGATAGGTACCTTGGTCTTGGCATACGATATGGGGAGCGGGACCACGGGAGTGACGTTCACACCACCAAAATCTGACAGCTTGGCAAATGTGGAGACACTAAATCCATTTGATTTGATAATACATTTTATTTATCTACACTCTTTGCTTCACAATTCACCTTCGATATTATGTAAATTACCCTCCATATATATACGTAGTATAGCGGAACGTCTCCCCGAGTTCTGATGGCTTCGACAGAGCGTTGTATAGCCCGAGACTCCATCCTATACCAACTTGGAACTCGATATGTGAAGAAGCAAGAATATCGCGACTCCTATATATGTATCTCTAGGTGGCTGGCTTGTTAGGCACAGTATTCTCTTCATCGGACCTATCAGCTTGAACGACCGGACAAGCTGAGCTCTCCTTCGATTTCATAAAGGGCAAATGTCCTTTAACTTCGCGGTATCTCATAACGCCGAATGAGATCATAACAACAATCCAATAGACGTTATAAGAGATGACTGAGCCATATGTTGCCGAGTTGGTCCATCCAAGTATCGCGTTAAATATACCCCAGCCTCCTTCGCCGCCGTTCAGCTCAGGGCTGCAGCACTGTACCAGATAATTAGCAATCAGAGAAAAGACATAGAAGTAGTTACATACGTTCACGTGCCAGACACTCTTATCAATGTCATAAGAGCCCGGTCCATTTCCCAGTTCGGCCGCATCGCCACCAATAATGTTGTTCCATTGCTGGTTTTCAAAATACCATACGGAACGCGAGAAAAGACCGGCGCCAACTAGATATAACAGGCATGTGGAAGCTATTAGGAAGTACTGCAGTTTTGTTCCCGATCCTCCCCTAGTGCAAGTTAGTGGAATACGAATCATACTATCACATATCAGAACTCACTTGTA